AAAAATTGTTTTTTTTGCCCCTCCCCAGGCATTATTCCCCCATTTTTCCTTTTTTTAGTTTTTTTTTGGGGTTTTTTAAAAAAACCCCATTAAAAATTTGGGGGGGGGAGGAGAAAAACGATGCCAACTTAAGGGCCCTTTTTCGGGAGGCCATTCTTATTTAATTTTTATTTTTTAAAAAATTTAGAGGGGTTTTTTTTTTCCTTACCCCCACCCCCCCCCCCAACCCACCCCCCCCCCTTACCCATTCCCAACCCCAAAATTTATCCCCAAGCAAAGACGGCGCCGGGCCGGGGGGGGGGGGGGGGTACGGGCGACGCGGGCAGGGGCTGCACGTGATCCAACGTCGCAGCCAAGCAATCGACACAGCCGCTTCGCTTGTGAGCGCCGACCTCGCCTCGGAGGATACCAGCACATAGTAATCCAAGACGACGCTTTTTTGCAGCAGCAGCAGCAGCAGCAGCAGCAGCAGCAGCAGCAGCGGCGGCGGCGGCAGCCAGATGCACGAAACCATCCCCGACCGCAACCATGAAAACAAAAAAAACTACGGCATAAACAACGCGAAAACTGTGCTAAAATTCTATCATACATTGTAGTTGATTCTTCGTGGAAGAGAGACACCAAAGATGAAGAGAAGGAAGAACCGAACGCGAGCTATAGTAGTAAGGTACACTGAGACGGGTCACCTCAAAACGAGGGATTTTCAATTCTGTAGACAACGAGCGGCAGAAAAAAAACGAAGGCTCTTTCCTCCTGTGTGGGAGACTCCTTCCTGGCTGGTGCATCCACAAGATCTTAGAGCTGTACCAAAATGGTATAAAAAAATACCAACCAACCTCCGGGACAAACGGACACATCAAAACACCCAAAATATCAACTATAACCTCCAGGACAAACGGGAAGACAACAACCAAAAAAACATGTCCAGAACAAATGGCATGACCCCCCCCGCCGATAAAAACAAAACGCACTCACACAAGCGGCGAAACGGAAGGGGCGTCAGTCGCCACCCCCGTTGACCAGTTGTCCAGCATCAGCATCAAGGTACTCTTTATGTGTGCTTGGTTTCACCTGGACTCGATACCAAGATGGCTCCGGGAAGCCCTCTACATCCGCGCACTCGCTCGTGTCGAAGTCTTCGGCCGAAATAAGCACCTGTATCGGCATGGGTCATAACAAGAAAACATGGGCGGGTTGTTCGTAAAACAACTTGTTTATACCTGGATTCCGCAAGCTTTAAAACCTGTCTGTTTCTATTGGTCTGTTTTTGTTGGCCAGCTTGTTCCGTGGATCGATCCCAATGTCAGATATCTTCCCCGTGCCCCCCCCCCTTTGTCGGGGGGGGGTCCGCGGACTAGAAAATTTGTCTGCTGTTTCTTATCCCGCTATCAAGACTGATATCTTTTCATCAGTCAGCCGGCTAGCGCGGTGGGTGACAATGAAGATAACACGCACAGATGCACGCCATGGCCTTCAGAAGCGTCTTCCGTTCTCCTTGGCGCACTGACACTTGATTGTCTTCTTTGGACCGCCTTCGCGGAAAATTCAGTACTACAAGGAAATAGAACAGGGAGGGGGTACGCAGACCCTATCCCTAACCCAACTTCCCCGATTGTATACTTTATCCAACATGTTTCCTTAATTCAAAAACCCTGCCAAGGCTACTGACTTCTTTCCATTGGTCAGCGGGTAGCGCGGCCGATGCCTGCAGCAAAGAGCCCCCCCCCCCCCCCCCCCCCC